ATTTCAATCATCATTTTGGTGTATATCATACGGAGTTTTAGATAGATTTACTTTGTGCATTCTCAATTATTTTTCCATAATGCATATCATTATTGTGTACCGATAATTGTGGATTCTGGCACCAATCTAAATAGAACACTCACCAGCCAGCAGATTTAAGTAACGTCTTTTATTCGTGTTCATAACTTGTATATTATTATATTACCTTTGGAACGTAATAACTTTATTGCCATTTTTGAGTTAGTATTTGTTTTGGTCCGCCACAAGACTGTCTAATGTAAACGGAGTAATACCCGCCTACACTGAAAAGTCGAAATATTGTAACTATCACAATGCATAATGATAGTTACAATATTTTGACTTTTCAGTGTAGGCGGGTATTACTCCGTTTACATTAGACAGTCTTGTGGCGGACCAAAACAAATACTAACTCAAAAATGGCAATAAAGTTATTACGTTCCAAAGGTAATATAATAATATACAAGTTATGAACACGAATAAAAGACGTTACTTAAATCTGCTGGCTGGTGAGTGTTCTATTTAGATTGGTGCCAGAATCCACAATTATCGGTACACAATAATTCCCGTGAGGTTGATATAGCTCCAGTAGCATAACCGAACGTAGAACGTAATGGGAATGTTACAACAGTATATAAATATAGATGATAGTTAATTATTAGTTCACTTATCATATCCACAAACATTGTAGAACTAGAAGCGTGCGTATAAGAGTGTATTTATTTATGAGCAGTTAACAATGCCGTGCTATGTGGAATTACCGAACGGAAGTGTTCAAGGTCGTACACTTAAACAACAAGTACAATCATTTAGTTATAAATGTAAAGAAGGTGAAAACTAACGAAATAAATGCAAAATATATCTAAAGCCTTTTACAAAATATGTTTATTAGGCCTATCTCCACAGTCTTACCGTTTGGGGACCACATAGACAGACAGAGCGGGGATTGTATGCCGAATTAGTCAGGGATAATGGCATCTAAGGCTAACAAGCGTAGAGTGTAGAGATTATAGGTTTGACTTTTTTAAATACAGATCCATCAGTTAAGAGATGTACAGATTTTGTTCTTCAGGTCAGTTTAGAGAGAATAAGAGATATTTGTCATTTAACAGAGTTTTTGTCTACAATGAGAGCTAAATGAGAATAGCTCTCACATAACTGTGGAAAACATTTTAGGATCCAATTTTACTTAATAACTAACCTTGTTAATGCGAAAATCTTACAATTAAATCTCAGGATTTCGGATGGATGCAGTAAATGTCGTGCCATAACCTACTCCTGTTGAAACTATTAACAATCTTGCATTTACAGAAGAATATATATGTGCCAACCATTCAAAGAGGCATCTAACGTGATGTGGATGGTTAAATCTATGACTGCTTTTTCAAAATAACACATTAACTTATCTGACCATAGACCATCTAGTTGAGATGTGATGATAGTTACAACCACATTTTTCAAAACGCGGACAATATATTTTGAAAGTCTCGATCCCTAAATGTCGACTTACATCCACATTCTGTGTGTGTATTTGTTGATCAATATAGATTTATTTTGACACAGGGTGCCTCAAACTAGAAATCATACAAGGGACTTAGTTCATCTAATAACAGAGTGTTTACGTCTTCACTTGGGTTTTTCAAATGAAATTTTTAAATGTAAAAGGCTGTTCCTGTTGCTGAAATTTCTCAGTGTTCCTGATCAACTCATTAAAAAAACCCAGGAGTATGACGTATTTTTACTGAAGTTATCGTCAACATTATTCTGCATAGCTTTGTAAAATAATATGCTAAATGTTAGTATTTCATTATTCTTTCAAAACTCTACTAGTCGTTTAAAAGCACTCGACCCTTTGATTTTACTTAGCTTTCCGTAGCTGACACCTGATAGAGTATGTAATCAAAAGGCATTTTTGTATACACTTAATTGTCCTCCTATGTATCTGGTCAAAAATTTCCATCGAGGTCTATCAGTACTCTATACTGACTGTGAACACACCATTTTGTTTCTGAACTAGTAATCAGTTTTATTTAGTTTCTTTGACATTGATTTCTGTTTATCACAGTGAGTTTCCGAGAGCTATCCAAAATAACGAGAACCTATATATATATATATATATATATATATATATATATATCGGAAACAAAAACGCAATTAAATACCTGTCACTTATATGTGAATTTAGTTTGATTATGGATTTATCGGTCTTTGGATAACTTTAACCCGGTGATGAAATGATCTAAAATGCAACAAGACAAATACTAAATGGCGGGCATCGCAAATACAGAAGACAAGGACTAAATTCTCTAATGCCATGTAAAATCACTTATACGACATGCGTTTTGTTACTTTGTAACCCATTTTCCGCTAGTTTTATTTCTTCAATAAATTGATGATGAAATGTTTACTTTTGAATGATTTCGCTAACAAATATATAAGATGTTATGAATTTGACTGAGTTTATGTCAAGTTTAATATCTTTTGGAATATATTTAATCTTAAGTCTAAAACTTAGTTGAAACTAAAATGAAGCTAAATAAGTGGAAAACAATTGCTTTTCGTTAAGCCACGAAAGATTTCTCGGATTAATAAAATGTTTCAACTTCATAGAACCATACTTTCAAGTGTATTTCAATATTTCATTTGAGGTTTGTCTCACCTAGGCCTGACTCAAATCTGAAATTGTTTAGAACTACTTCGTAATAATTAAAAACTCGAATAATGTTAGTTCTCCAGCAGTTGAACAGTGCGAAATCAAGAGTCAGATACAAAGATTCATGGAACAATATATTTCACATGGGTCAGATAACATAACAAGATCATATCACCAAGGTACAGTTTACAATCAGAATAGAACTATGTGTATAGTCATTTAATAAACAAACCAACATACTGTACATAACTCCTTAGTTCAACTACATATTCAAGGATATACGAAATAGGACTAACATGACTATTATCATTCCGAATATATTTTTGTGAAGAGTTTGTTTTCAAAGTAGATAATATTTTAACAATGATTAAGTTTTCAGCAATGAAATAGTTTAATTAAATAACTGCTACTACTGAAAATCGGGTCAAATGTTGAAAATTCACATTGGTTTCGTTTTTGTTCACATATTAATTAAGCTTATCACATTAGCTAAACTGTATTAAGGTATTTATCCATCTGCAGTTTGATGAGATTATCTGTATCAACTGTGTTTTATTCTCCTGTTTATTACTCCTGATAGCTAACAAAACCCATTAAAATATTTTCAAGCATAAAATTTAATTGAACTTTGATATAACCGATTAGTTTTGTTTTTTGCCTGTTTAATAACATTTTATTCCAATATGTATTTAAGTGTAAAAGTTATTTATTCTCATAGAAAACTGTTTCATAAGATAACAAAGCTTCAAAGATTTATTTTGAAGTCGTTGGGACACTACAGAAACTGCAATTCAAATCATAGGTACATGACCTAATGCTCAATTCGTTTAAAATTGATCGAATCAGATCATAACGAATGAAATAGCATTTGAAATCGCTAGCTATTTCAGTAGATGAAAAGAACTGGTTAGAGGAAAATTTCCCATAAGTTAACATTGAAATACGAATTTCCTTCCTAATGACTGTCTTTTTCCAATTACCATATAATAATTTGTTAAGAAGTCAGAAAATAAAGTTTTAAAACAGCTAAGATATACTAACGATGATATATATAAAAATGAAACATCACATTTGTGAAAGCATGCAAAAGTTCTGAATTACAGCCACTTGTTACTTACTCTTGAAGATATATCACGTAGTCTATTGAGCATTACAAACTGTTTAACCCACAAGTCATTGAGAGTTGATTTTGAGATTTCCAACGTTTCATTTAATAGAATTCATAAAAGTTACCAATAATTAATTCGCTTGGTGTTGTTTACTTGTATCTTCCCATTGTTATTTAGGACTGCAACCGATCAGTCTTTTTCCCATATGTGCATCCTGTGCGGACTGCCTCGATATTGACTGAAGTCATAAGCTTTATATGCAAAGACGGATAGTGGGGGGCTACGATAACTCAGTAGCTAAGTGGATAACACGATGGCGTTTGAAGCGAAAGGTATTAGGTTCAAGTCCCAGAGTGAACATCAACTCTGAGATGTAAGTACGTCCAGCTGACGAGTCCAAAATAGGACAAAACGCGCATCACGGATTCCACTGCTAGCCATTATCCATCTTTGCTTATAATTATCAGGATTGCTACGTTTAAAAACTGATTTATTAAAGAGGTTAATCTTTGAAATATTTCTTAAAATATACATACGATGAAGCAAAAATCTATGATCCATATTATATTTAGAGCCAATGAATAATATTCTCTAACAATTCTTTATCAAGTAGCTCCTCTGATTTCATTTATGAATCAACTAATAGTCAAATATTATAACAGCGAGGATACACTAACGATGATCTAGATAAAAATGAAATATCACATTTGTGGAAGCATGTTTAAGTTCTGAATTACAGCCACTTGTTACTTACTCTTGTAGATACATCACATAGTCTTTTGGAAATTCGGGCAATGAAAGCAGATGTATCATCAACTTCAAAGATACTCCACATTCTCTTTAGTAAGATTTGGGATGAAGAACAAATACCAACAGACTGGAAACAAGGACTTCTGCTCAGAAAATCAGAGAAAGGTGATCTCAGTAAGTGTGGTAACTACAGGGGCATCACTCTTCTCTCAATACCAGGAAAAGTCTTTAACATGGTATCATAAAACAGAACGAAGTACTCCGTAGACGCCCAACTTCGAGACCCAATGATCAATTTATTCAAAATTATCAAATCAAAATTAGGTTTTAAAAAATCATTTTTTTATTTTAATAATTTAATATTATATTAAATTACTAGAAATACTCTATTTTTCACCCAATCAAAATTCACAAAAAGACAAAAAAACTAAAAAATATATAAATATATATAATTTCTGACATGTCGAAAACAACATTAAGATGTTATTTATATTGTATAATATAGAAATTTCAACGGAAAAAAAATAATTTTTTTTCTTTTTCAATTACCTAGAATGATTAAAATCTGTACGTGTTTCGCGTCAGATTAAATAAGAAAAAAAGAAGAAATTCATTCAAGGTTCAATTGTTTTATGAATGAATAATTTCTGAACAATCAATCTTTTCAAGTACTTTATCATCATTACTATTATTATTATTATTATCAGTAATATTTTTCATTTCTATTTGGTCATTTAAATTTAAATTTATTTTGTTTAAACTTTCATTTGACTGATTATGACAAATTACCACTTCTGTTCTATGTGTCCATTGATTATGATCATACTGTTTATTTGTTCCTTCATTATGACTAATAATAGTACTATTATTATTATTATTATCATTATGGTGATTGATTTGACTATCAAAATTAATTTTATCATTTTGTTGTTGTTGTTTTTGATTAAAATTTAATTCATTTGATAAACATTGACTAGTTTCTTTGAATTCATCACTAGCTCTTAGAATAGCTGATCGTGGTTGAATTGTTGAATTAGGATAATTTATACGTACAGCTGTATATTCACCACCAATAGTTTGTGTAGTAATTTGATTTGTATAAAATTTTGATTTTAAAAAGAAACATGGTAATATACGATGAAATTCTTTACGAAAATTACTATTCATCCATGCATATAGAAATGGATTATATACAGCACTACTCATAGCTAATAAATGGCATATAAAAAAGATTAAACTAAAATTTTTCGAATTTTGTACATCATTTATTTGTTCTTCACTATGTACATCCATAACCATCCATAAAATATTTAATGGTATCCAACATATAACAAATATTATAACCATAGCTATTAACATTGTGTTTGTTCGACGTTTACGTTTTATTTCACGTTCCTCTTTTATATGTGTTTTAGTTCCACTACCAATTTGTGTATGTAATCTAGAGCGTAATAATAAACTTATACGAAAATAACACACAGAGATAATACTACAAGGTATGACAAATTGTAAAACAAAACTAACTATTGTAAATACTTCACGTGATGATTCTTTAGGCCAATTTTCTCGACAACTTGATACATTATTAATAGGATCTTTATGCTTTTGTTGATAAACAGCTAATGGCATTGAAATAAGTACAGCTATAATCCATACAGTAAATATAATAATAAAACATAACCATACTTTCATTCTTGGTAAAAATGGATGTACAATAACAAAAAATCTATCTAAAGCAATTGCCATTGATGTTAATGTAGATACATAAACTGAAACACCCATAGTGGTTGGTAATAATTTACATACAGCTTCAGGTAATGTCCAATTGTTCATATATAATGATAATGGAGTAAATGGTGTAGCTACAAGACTCATTAAAATATCAGATATAGCTAAATTTGCTATAAATATATTAGTAATTGTTTGTAATAATTTTACACGTAATACAATCCATACAACTAATAGATTCCCAGTTACACCCATTAATGTAATAAATGAATATAAAATAATAATTATTAATTTAACAGGTAAAATTTCTTTAGCTACATCAAAAGTTAAATTTGTTTGTTGAATATTTGAATAGTAATTAATTTTTTGATATGTGTGTTTTTCCATATAGAAATTAAAGTAAGGTTGTACAATAAATAACTGATTGAATAATCAAAAAATGAAACCTTGACAATTAATGATTTACTAGTTGAATATTCTCAATTAATTTTCACCTGAAATTTTAAAAAAAAAGATAGGGAAACAAAAGTAGAAATAAGAGGTTATTTCACCGTTCTAATTGAAACATATTTCTAATCTAATTGAAGTTCTTTTTTTATTGAAAAGAAAAAAACGACTGGCAGCCTGCTTGAACATTTGGGCAACCTGTTTCTTCTATCTAGATATTTCAACAAGTTATCTGCTTTTTTACGTTAGTTTTTGTTTTATCGATTGCTTGTGTGCCCTGTTTGATATATATGAACGTGCTTATTCCCCGTCAACCAGAGAGGCGTAAATTTATTGATCGCCCAATGATACACAAAAAGTCTTGAGTACTTATCAGTCCTGCTATCTGCCTAGACCAGCTAGTTAAGTCCAGAACATCAATAACAGCCTCTGCAATGTGAATCATTATTCTCAAACATACTGGGTTTATATACCAATCAGACAGACTACATCGTACCATAAAATAGAAATTAACATTTGTACAAGATTTGGCCAAATGTAGCTGTTAATAGGGGGAACAGTAATTAATAGTCTGGGGATAACTCAGGAATGATAAATTGTATAATAATAGTTCATTGGTCAAAATAAAGGTTTTGATAGGAGGAACACGAGTACGAATAGTTTAGTTACTTACCAATTATACAATAGTTCTCAAAGTTACCATTCATAAATCTCCTTGGTATATAACAGTTTTAATACATCATTATGGCTACTAATCGCATAACCTATTCATCTGGGTTTTTGAAAAGTGTACAACTTTTCGTTGTAGAATTTACAAAAGTTCCAATCAGAGATATAGTGGTTTCTGACAGTATGCAACGAAAAGAATGTACATAATTTAGATGCCAATTGACTGAACCTCTAGCTTCTAACTGGCAATCACTCAAGTCAAGATCGACCAATACGTAAAGAATGGAAACTAGCTGAAAACATTGTGCTGAGAATTTTATATTGTACCAAAAATATAATATCGAATAAAACTAATAACACCAATATTAATAATAATAACTAAAATCATCATAATAAAAACTTGTGAAACTACCCAGTTTATTTATGTAGTCAATTACACAAGTAATTGATTGAAACAGAAAGGAAGTATAGTTTAATTAAAAATATCAATTGTCTAAAGAAAATGTTGATAGTGTTAAAATTCATGATTCTACTTTGAGATGAAATCATTAATGGTTTATAGATAGATTTAAACTTATTACATTTGCTTTTTCCTAATTTCATAAACCTTATTATTTAAAATTACTGGTCTAATGGTACTGTATTTATTGTAAGTCTTGAAGTCTTTAGATTTTGTCCAATATTACTGTCATACATGTACAATTCCATGAAGTTCCAAGGTATTCAATACTCAATGAGGAATCATCTCATACCAGTTATTCACAAAGACTATGTTTAAACTAAGAAATTCTATTTACAAAGTAGTTGAGTGTAATATATTCGTGTACTCATCAAAGCAGTTGACTTTCAAATGAAGCAAATCAGTTGTAAATGATAAGTAATTTTAAACACATTTACGATTTTGGTTAATATACATGAAGATCAACCTGGATATACAAAGTTTGAAAGACAAAGTAGGTCTTAAAGTAAAAATATTGAAATACGTAGGTCTTGTAGTGATAAATACTTATCTAACTTACAAATAGTGTCCTCAAAGTCAAGATTCATTTACTGGATGACATTTTGCTAGTTTCGTTTTTAAAAACCGAATCAAACCGTCAACTATAACTTGTGCATGTGATTTTTTTAATTAGGAAAAGATTGATAGAAAATAAATGGAACTCTGTGAATTTATTATCACAAAGTTAATTTACAAATACAATTTTCTTCAAATAGAGTTTACTCAGAACAAATGGTTAGATAACTTGGGTAAATTTAGCCATGGGCAGTTTTAAATTACTGCTTTGTAAATTTCTTGATATACCTCATTTAACTTAAAACATGTTTGATAAAAATTCAGGTTCGTTCGAAAAATGAATATTTGACGTATAGATTATTAACTAGACAGGACACCAGCCACTTCATCGAAACCTTTTTATTCAAACTTAAATGTAGAAAAGTATCCAATCATAAGTAAGAAATAAATTGTCTTCCAAAGAAATTATGTTATTTTAATAAGCCTACGTAATATACTCAAAAAGTTACGGCTCATTCATTTTCCCCGCTTATCTTATTTCTTTCTTGATAAATTTTTTGTGAGACTGGTCTGTTATTAACTTGATAGTCATCTTTAATTAGGATATTTTGATGAGGTTTTTACTTAATAATCTCACATAATTTGTAAATTATTTTCACTATTATTTGACATCTGCTTGAGAACTATTGTTTTCCTTTTCTTCAGATCACTTATAATAGACCTTTCCTATTGCTTTTCCAGTTAGCTATGGAAGAGTAAAAAGACTAGGAATGATTAATATGGTTTGCGCTAAAAGCCTGTTAATGTAAAAAGCTGATCCGTATATATATATATATATATATATATATATATATATATATATATATATATTGAAATGGTCCAAACAAGGACGTATGTGATGTTCTCATGGACAATAGTTCGCTCACATACAATAAATCTGTCTATAATTGCATTTCTCACTTTTCCTTTGTACAGTATGTAATTTGTGCTACCTTGCAACAACATATCACCTGTCTGCACAAACGCCAGTTAACGCTGATGAAAACTGTGAAATACCGAAGAATTGTTTTACCTTCGTTCGGTATTCATCAGTAGTTCAAGCTTCCTAGCTCAAAAGCAAATAAACGTTTCCTAAATATGTCTGGAAGAGAGCATGGTACATTCCAACTCCCCAGCTGAAATTTTATGGTCTGCATTTTCAAACTCAATTGATTCTAAACACAGTAAACTCATGATCACCTATTGTCGGTTTGTTACTGTTTCATTACCGACATAGTTGAATGGTATTGGAAAGCTGTAGATAGTGTCAAATAGTCTTGTAAGTGTAACTTTAGTACTTCGAATCGCTAGCTTTATTCACACTGAAATGAATGCATTAATTAACACTAGTTTTACATGAAAAAATCTACTTGACTAATCGTCTTTATTCAGTTAATAATGGAAACTCATTCAGTTCATATACAGAAGTGACATATTCACTTCTTATTAGGAAAATAAAAAAATTTAATTATATCCTATTATTTGAAGTTGACTATTAAGCCACATATTCACCAGGGTGTATAAACCGCTGTTAAAGAAAATCAGTAATAATAATTGATTGATGAATGACTTAGTAATAATAATAACCGTTGTATTTAAAAGGTATGTATACAAACAAAACAGAATTCTTAGTATACATTAATTCAAAAACTATCCCTTAGAATGCATAAAATAGCCTTTGGTTGACTCCAAATGAATATAATTCCTCATTCAATTTTGTATACCATACTTCGAATAATCCTACCGTTCAATGATTGTGTAAAATTGCTGAGTACGAAATGTACTGGAAGAATATTTATTTCATGTATTCTCTTATATGTAAACAACCGTGTAGTCAAGTGAGAATGACTTGAGCCAGATCACTTGTTTTAATCGTGACTTCCATTTTATTTGAAGAATTGACAAAAGATAAATACAAATATACACAGACAGTGAATTACAGGGAAAAACGTTTTACAGAACAAATGAGTAAGCATTAAAATAATTAAATGTACGAAGATGAGTACAATATAGTTAACAGGTGCATATGGTTTATCTGACTATACACTATTCCATTAGATAGATAAATAACCTGATTCACTATAATAGTCTTAAAGTATCAGTAAATAGAATCAAGTTTAAAGATAAAAATATTTTAAATATGGATATTTGTGCGGATTGTTGTACTGTTACAGTTAAATTCACGAGTTAATCTAATCTAGATTACCAATGAAAGCCTGAAAGCATCGGATAGCCGTTTCGTTCTAGTATGAGGCTCCTTAGCAGTGCGAATCCACGATCCTGTATATATCTTGTAACCACAGAATCGAAGCTATGACTTTTTTTCTGAGGTGAGCTTAATCACAAGATTAGTATCTAATATTCTTCTGCAATTATTATTATTATTTAAACAGTGATACTCAACTGTTTAACTTATAATTTTTCTCACTCTATTTACTACTTAATTTATAGACATAACTAGGTAACTTAGAATAACTGGTTAATAGTTGCTATAATTTATTATTTCAAAAGTGTTCTTCTAGTATTAAAAAAACAGTAAATAATAGTTACCGAGATTTTCCAAAATCTAAATTTTTTAATTATGATCAATATTAAGCAAATTGTTTTTTTTAATTACTTAATTTCTCAAATGATTTAATACTATTTACACTTATTTTATAAATAATTTAGCTGTATTACTAATTTACTGAATTATAAAACTGTTCAATGAACAATTATAAGCAAAGATGGATAGTGGTTAGTAGTGAAATCCAGGATGCTCGTTTCGTCCTATTTGAGACTCGTCAGCTGAATGCATTCGCATCTCAGAGTTAGTGTTCACTCTGAGACTCGAACACAGTACCTTTCGCTTCAAACGCGCGTTCTGGATTCCACTGCTAGCCACTATCCGTCTTTGTCCACTGAACAATATTTTACATAATAAATAATTTGATCACAGTAATAATAATAATAATAATAAATTTTGTAAACAATCAAACATTAAGTCAGTGAAAAAAAGAAATATGTTATAGGCCAATAAAAAAAATTATTATTATGTATAACCAATCATACCCATTATAATTAGATATGTTGTTAAACAAAATTCTTTAATAGTTGAAATCATGAGTCAATTGAAGCTAGACCACCATAGAAAACCTGAAAACACTAAACGGCCGTTTCGTCCTATTACGGGACTCCTCAGCAGTGCGCATCCACGATACCTAATCGCGAGATTCAAACCCAGAACCTATCAGTCTCGCGCTGGAAAGCCTAACCTGTAGACCACTTAGCCGGCATCCAACCTTGTTATTATCTAACCTCAACCAATCCAGAAACGCTCGCGCGAGAGGCTGGTAGGTCCTGGGTTCGAATCTCGCTAGGCGGGATCGTGGATGCGCACTGCTAAGGAGTCTCATACTAGAACGGAAGAGCCGTCCTGTGCTTCCAAGTCTTCCATGGTAGTCTAGCTTCAATTGATTCATGATTTCAACTACGAAAATATTGAAATCTCCATAAAACCCCCCTCTGATAAAAATGTTTAACTCATTTTCATGTTCTGTAGTAATTTAATCTACTGTTTTAACAGTTAACTTATTAGTTATTTACTCAAATAGCTTACGTATTTTATTCACTATAGTAATATAGTATTCATGTTTGTTTATTGAATATTGAATTACGATGTATGTTTTTACTTACTTACTTACTTATTTACACCTGTTACTCCCAATGAAGGATAGGCCGCCAACCATCATTCTACAACCGAATCTGTCCTGGCCCTTCCTTTCTAGGTCTGTCCGGCTTTTCATCATTCTTCTCATGTCTCTTTCCGTTTCTCGGCCTAATGTGTTCTTTGGTATTCCTCTTCTCCTTTAGAATTCAGGATTCCATGTGAGGGCTTGTCTTGTGACACGATTGGGTGATTTCCTCAATGTGTGTCCTATCCACTTTCAGCACTTCTTCCTCATTTCTTCCTCCACTGAAATTTGGTTTGTTCTCCTCCACAGTAGGTTGTTAATGATAGTGTCTGCCCAACGGATCCAAAGTATTTTGAGTAGACAACTGTATCTTTTGGATGATAGCTTTCGCAATGTATGTTTTTTACCTTTATACAAATTTACAAAATTACATCCTTAAAACATTTTTGTTAGTTGTATAATAAAATCTTGTTTGTTTTTGTTTTATTTTTTTAAATTTGATTTTCAGCTTCATTTATGTTTGTTTCCTTTACAGCGTATGATCTTTACATAGAATTTCTTTTCATTCTATGCCTACTTAGTACAAAAATGTTTTATCCCTAAATATTTTTATATCACATTAACTAAATCAAAATTAGAATGTTTCGATACATGTTTTAAAAAAACTTCTAACCACTAAATTCATTTGATAAAGTTAGGTGTGTTTAAATTTGAAAATGTTGTTATGACGACAACAACAACAACAATAACTGCGGAAACATATTCAGTAACTAGAGATGGATAGTGGCTAGCAGTGGAACCCAGGACGCGCGTTTCGTCCTATTTGTGACTCGTCAGCTGGATGTACCTGCATCTCAGAGTCGATGTTCACTCTGGGACTCGAACCCAGTACCCTCGCTTCAAACGCCATCGCGTTATCCACTCGGCCACTGAGTCCTGATAGCCACTTGCTTGTGTGATGGGGTGAAGTTTGAATTCACTTAGTATTGTTTGTTTGGATCTTCCCATCGATGTGTTTAGGACTGCAACTGGTCAGTCTCTAATTGGCATATGTGCATACTGTGCGTATTGCCTCGATATACCTTAATTCACAAGCATGGTAAGCAGAGATGGACAGTGGCCGAGTGGATAACGCGATGGCGTTTGAAGCGAGGGTACTGGGTTCGAGTCCCAGAGTGAACATCAACTCTGAGATGCAGGTACATCCAGCTGACGAGTCACAAATAGGACGAAACGCGCGTCCTGGATTCCACTGCTAGCCACTATCCATCTCTGATTACCATGCTTGTGAATTAAGGTATATCGAGGCAATACGCACAGTATGCACATATGCCAATTAGAGACTGACCAGTTGCAGTCCTAAACACATCGATGGGAAGATCCAAACAAACAATACTAAGTGAATTCAATATTCAGTAACTGTTTGTCTAGAGTAATTAAAATCTCTTCTTTTTTAATGTTTCAACTATTATGAACTAAATATGTATATTTCAACTTTGAAAAATATTGAAATCTCCACAAATCCCCTTCTATATAAATATGTATATATAAAATTTTTATAGAGTGTTAACTGACATATTTTACAGTTTAAATATAATGGTCTTACAGACAGTATAAAATAGAAGTTAAGAATTTACATTCTCTGTATGAGTGGAAAGGTTTTGAATAGTTGAATTCATGAGTTTATGTCAGCTAGACAACCGTGGAAAACTTGAAAGCACTGAACGGCCGTTTCGTCATAGTATAGGACTCCTCAGAAATAAGCATCCACGATCCCACATACCACATTCGATCTTCAGTCTTACGCTGCAACGCCTCACGTCTAGACCATTGAACCGGCATCCAAAGGTGTTAGTGTTTAAATTCAATTAATCTATGATCGATCCATTTATCCATTGTCTGAGGTAGGCAGCTGTCTTTACTTGACACAGACTGGACTCCACCGGTCACGGCTTACATCGACTCCGGAATTTAAATATTATAATTACTACACTCTCCGCAAATTCCAATTCTGAAATAAGCTTTTATCAGTTTATTATGAGTCTGTAATCTCAAAGAGATTACTTCATGATTTCAGAATATATTCAAGTAATAAATTATAATCAAGAAAACTCATTGTAATATAATTTTTGTTTAATTGTGAAAATGTTTACTAGTTCGTAGATTTAACCATACGATTGAAAAGTTAAATTTTCTAGATCTGATATCCAGCTGAAGTCATAAAGGTACATGATATAAAACATGCAAACGTTTACCTACAGGCATATAGTTTTTCTATTAATTTTAATTCATTCTGAAGGCTTAGCGTTTACATCCGAAATCAACAGTTTTGTGTTTGATTCCTGAAAGAGGGAGTCGTGGATATTCATTGCTGAAGAGTCCCATATTGAGAAAACATATCGATACTTAATAGTGATCTAGATAAGATCAGTTAGTAACTAGAAACTATGAAAATTCTATGATTCCACAAAACCTTGTACTGATAATATTCTATTTTTTATTAATATTTCATAATAGTTTATTCAAAATACGTAAGATTCAATCATTCTATGATGACAGTACAAAGTTGACGCCTATAAAATTCCAAATACGATATTAAGCATAACTTTTCTATCATCTGTGTACTTTAAAATTCTTGTTGGAGAATAGCCGAAAATATGTACACATGGCCACTGAGCGAAGTTATGTGCTGTGTATATTATTAAAAATGTTGACTTTAACATTTCAGTTCACTTTCATCTGTTAACAATAGTGGACTTATCAAAAAGTACTGCATTATATTGGTTGTAATCAAGATATTAAATCGATCCAAAATATAATCACGTATTGCTATGTGTTGGACTGACAATAAATCATTCAGTGCTCATCTATCTAATGATATTGAATGATGGTGTATTTATACGTTTTGATATTTACACTTGTGAGCAAAATTAACTGAGCTTAGCGTGAAATGAACTAAAAACCAACAGGAAATTTGAATGCTATAGTAGTCCTTTTTTACAGGAAAGTTACAACAGTTAACATAAAAAACGATAATTGTCGTCATAATTGGTACAGACTTCGAATTATTCTTACTTCTTTTGTAATTGTTGGGATCTTTCAGTTATTAATGTTAAGGATCGGAAACTAATCAGCCTCATTTGATGCGAGTGCATCTTCTCATTGATATCTAGAACTTCAAATGGTCAGTCTATTATTGTCATATATACATATTACGCGGATCGCATGTATAGAGCCTTAAGTCCTTAACATTATAAGTAAAGATAGATAGTGGCTGCAGTGGAATCCAGTACATGCATTCCGTCTTATTTGAGACTTGTTAGCTAGATGTATCTGCATTCCAGAGTTCATATCCACTCCGAGACCATCCATTTTCGTTTATAATAACAGTTGATGTTTTTTAACCGTTATAGTTCAAATTACCATCAATATGTAAAACATTTTGACTGTTATACGAAAACAGAAAAAGAAACATTTATTTATTTTGAATAAACTTTATAAACAGATAAAACAGATCTATTAAACAAGAAAACATAATAATCTAATATTCAATCATTATAGTTGATTTCAACCATTTCATTATTAGTTATTGGTTAGCTATTGACCTTGATATCAAACTATACTTAACGATTAATGTGGATATGTAATGTTCATGTCAAGTGGACACTGAACAATGAAAGCCAAATAAAATTATGAATACTATAACATAATATCTATTCCCTTTTATATTTTTATCATTTAATAGAGTATTATTAATATTATCTGATCAGAACCCAAAATAAAACAGAAAGTAACGATGAGATTATCAGCGTGATATGAACTAAAAATCAACAGAAAATCTAAATAGTCTATTAGCGAAAGGTACTGGGTTCGAGTCTCAAAGTGAACATTAACTCTGAGATGCAGGCACATCCAGCTGACGAGTCCATAATAGAACGAAACGCGCGTCCTAAATTCCACTGCTAACCACTATCCATCTTTGCTTATAACTTCATTATATTTAAATAATGTTTAATAATATAGATTATTTTTAACTGTTCATATTTTTGTATCTCATTTATTCATGTCGAAATTTAACTAAATAACGAGTAATCACAATAAGATTTAATATTGATTCAACATTTAGGAATAATTTTTCATTTATGTATCATTTAGGAATATTGTTTACATGATAAAACAAGTAATTTATAGCCTGTCATGTCGTGCAGAAAGAGAAATATAGTTTTGAAAAACATTGTACCTAAATAAAACATAGATATTCTGATATATGTATAGTATAATTTGAAGTATGATTCTATCACTAAAACAACTTCAACACTTTACTTATCCAACTATATGAAAGAAGATAAATTGTATGAAAAATTATATTTCGAGGAATATTGGGTTAAATGACTTTTATACATAATTGATGTTATTTTATAGCCATAATACGTCAGACAATGAACGAATGAGTTGTGGTTTTGGTTCAGTAAATAATCCAACTACTCATTATAAATCATCTATACCTCACACTGTTTGAATAACTTTTAAAACTTGTCATGCCTTATGACTTATCATGTTATTTTCACAGCTGGATTCATGAATCAATCTAGGCTGGACCACCACTGAAAACCTGGAAGCACTGGATGTTATGTCTAGTATATTTGATGTATCAATCATACAGATAGTACTGAAAAATACCACATAATTCTTTCCATCGACGCGAAAACAATGCTTAACTGTTCATTCTTGCTTTATTTAGATTTCACTATTTTTATAGTACTACAGTTCTATATCTGGCTCTTCTATTGCACACGCAACAACAAAATGCAGGAGAAAACGACCAGTGCAGCAGCCTCAAAGGCGCTAGGTTTCAATATACACAAAGTGAAAAACAAGATTCTCAGGTACAACACAGCATGCACCAATCAAATTACACTTGACGGAGAAGCTTTGGAAGATGTGAAAACTTTTACATATCTGAGCAGCATCATTAATGAACACGGTGGATCTGATGCAGATTTGAATGCGCAAATCAGCAAAGCAAGAGCAGCATATCTACAACTGAAGAACGTATGGAACTCAAAACAGCTGTCAATCAACAACAAAGTCTCAATTTTCAATACAAATGTGAATACAGTTTTACTGTAATGGACGGAAGCCTGAAGAACTACGAAAGCCACCAACTTAGAAGATACAGCTGTTTATTAATAGTTGTCTACTC